TGCACTGCAGCACCTTAAGGTTCTCAGGGGTCCCTGGCCTCCAAGTTGCCTTGGGTGGCACAGTCCCTGGTGGCTTAGCTCCAGCATGTGCTCCCTGGGATGAGCCTTGTCTCAGAGGGTGGAAGGATGGGCTCCTGGAGATCACCTGGCTGCACTTCTAAAGGCAAAGCACTCACGAGGGGTGAATCCCAGTTGCAGAGAGGTCCAAGAGGGGTCATCCTGCCCCAGTCTCGTGTTGGCTTGAAAAATGGGATCAGCTAACCTGTTTCCACTTGGCTCTGCCCAGCAATTGCTCTGCTATCCCAGCACCCAGAGGGGAGACCACTGCCAGCAGTGCTCTGGGGTTAGTTCTTCTCCCCAGGAGCTGTGTCCAGTACTGCCAGACTGGACTCCACCTGCAGAGCTTCCCACTCCTCCTCCTACCGCCTTCAGAACACAGGGCTGCCCATGCCCCAGGTGACCTGACCACATCCCAGGTGATGGAGCTTGTCCCAGCTGTCAGCAGTCCTGTCTCCTGCCGTGTTCCCAAGGGAGCAGTGACACACATCTCTTGGGGCTGGCAGTGACCACAAGGGGGATGATGACTGTAAACTGTCAGCAATCCATGGTGGGATCCCTGGCATTGCTCATCTCCCAGGATCCAGCACGTGGTGTGGGACAGAAGGGAGGAATATGGAGAGAGATGGGCATGGAGCCAGCCTGTGGTGACTGGCTGGGCTCCAGCTGGCTTGTGGAGTAACTGGGGCAGGAGAAGCTCTGCCAAGGGCAGGGAGGGCACTCGGGGGAGGCTTGGCCGTGTCTCTGAGCCAGCACTGGGCTGAGCATGGCAATGCACTGGCAGGATCAGGCCCCTCACCCACACTCCTGTCCCTCAGCCATTCCTTTCCAGGGATTCCCCTCCTCCTGCTGCCATTGCAGTGCTGATAGGGAGGTGCCCAAGCTGGCACTGACCACTCTGGCCACAGATATGAGCTGGGAAAGAAAAGAGCAAGCATTTACATGGGAAATCAGGTGGCTGGATCATGTGGAAGAGCTCAGATGGTTCAGAGCTCCCCTGAGGATGAGGCTGAGGTCAGTGTCTCCCTGGCAGGGGCACCCGTGCAGCAGTGGGTGCCTCATGTGGGTGCTCTGCTGGTAGTGCTGGCTCCTGAGGGCCTTGGAAAGCACAGCACAGGCTTGGAAAAGAGCATGTCAACCTGAGCATGGGGAACACAGCTCTTCTGGCAGCCAGGTGTGGCATGGCCTCAAGATTCCCAGGAAAGCTCCTGGTGGCATGCAAGCTCCCACTCCAGAAAGAGGTACACAACCTCAGCAAAGCCCAGACCCAGAGGGACCCAGATGCTTCAGCTGCTCCTCCAGATGAGAAAGAAAAGGTGGTGGCCTCTGAGGGAAGGAGCAGGGGTTTGCCTGTCCTGCAGGCCAGGTTGCTCTGCCCACCAGAGACCAGGCTTGGCTTTCAGGTGTCCTGGCTCATTTTGGCCATGCTCCTTTAAGAGAAGCTTTTTCCAGAAGGGGCAAAGCCCCAACACCACACCAAAATCCATTTATTTGGGGCTGTTTCCACTTCCTGGTCAAATTCCTGCAGTCAAGGGCTGCCCAGCCCACCTTATTAAGGTTCTCAGTTTCTCCATCCCACAGAAGTGCTGTTCCCATGCTGTGATCCCCCATGGGACCAGATTTCCCCCACCCAGGGGTACCAGGCCCAACTGGAGCACCACTGTGGCAAGAGCTGTCTGCCTGGGATTGCAGAACTGGACTGTAGTGCCAGGTCTTCCCATTCCAACCATGAGGCTGCTCCCAAAGACACCATGTCCAGCACAAAGTCATCCCAAGATATCTACGGCAAACACACCATGCTTTGGTGGAAGCATGGCAGAGACCAGGCAGACCTGGGCACACCCTGCAGCCAGGCAGGACAGCAGCTTTGTGTGAGTTACATGTCCCCTTCAGCTCAGGGCAGCTGAAGACAAGGCAGGCAGACTGCTTGGATGACAGGATCATTTAGGCTGGGAAAACACCTCCAAGACCATCAAGTTCAGCCATTAATGCCAGGCTGTTTTTTGCAGGGGCAAGGCAGTCTGAGTGGAGACTCTACAGCTGGGAGAAGGCACAGGTACTAATTGACTTTATTTATTAGCAAGTTGAAGGCAGGGATCACACCCTGCCTACCCACTGGAGTCCCAAGTAGGTCCCTTGCAGACCACAGAGGGCTGAGTACACTGGTGGACCTGTGCAAGCAGGAAGTCCTGTGGAACCATGGAGTTCCTCAGAGGGACAGAGGGCAGTCACCAGGGGATAGCTTTCCCTTCCCAGTTGAGCAGAGTCCCACTGTGTTTCTCAGAAAGGACTGGCAGCACAGACAACAACCCCCGCACACTTGTGTCCACTGTCAGGTCAGCCTGCAAAGGGAAAAATGAGACACCACCATCATTCCAGGCCATCCAGCAGCACCCACTTGGCTCATGTGCAGTGACAGGAAGGCTCCTTCCACCCAGAGTGAGCAGAGAGCCACGGGACCTGGGACAAATCCACTGTGTGGGAGGATGGTTGGGTATCTGCACTGCTGGCTTGGATGGAGGTGGCTTGGGCTGGGAAGCCAGCCACAGGTTTAACCAAACAGGAAGAGATCCCTGCTGCAAGTGAGGTGCTTTGTGCAGCCTTCTCAAAACTCCAGTGCTGCAGGGACCACCCCCACTGCAAAACATGGATCCTGCAGGATGAGTGGAAACCTCATGGACCTGCAGTTCTTCAAGGAATGGGGCACAGGATGGGATGGTGTTGCTCCTCTTCTCACTGCTCTGTTGGATTCAGGTTCTCTGCATATCTTTCAGGCTGCCCAAAGCCCCTTTTTTCCCCCTGAACAAGCAGCCTGATATGTGCCGATGCTATTTCCCAAAAAACCCAGTATCCACATGTTCTGCAGGGGCCCAACACAGACATGGCAACTTGGAGCCCAAGAGACAGCTCATTTTCACATGGATCCTCCCTCCAGAGAGCCATCTTGGCCATTTGGGCCACCTCCTGTGCAGGTTTGTAGCCTTGGGTGCCACCCATGGGTTCCCTGTTGACCTGCTCACCTCCTGTGCAGGTTTGTAGCCTTGGGTGCCACCCTGTTGACCTGCCTGGCAGAACTCACCTGCTGGGTGCCCATGTCTGTTTTCACCCAGCCAGGGTGCAGTGCCACGCACAGGATCCCAGCTTCCTTGTAGGTCAGAGCCTGGCACATGGTCAGCATGTTGAGGGCAGCCTGGGTGAGGAAGCAAGCATCATCCATGGGCAGCAAAAAGCTCCATGAACCAGGTTCCCTTCCCATCACTGCCTCTTGGTTAGGGAGAAAAAGCAATGCCAGGTCTTCAAGAGACAGTGTGTGTCTCCTCTGGGTGGGCATGGAGATGCCCTGAGAGCTTGGGAACTCCCTCCACCTCTCCATCCCAGGTGTTTCCCTGAGATCCAGCCTGGCAAGGGCAGCTCTGACCCCATGGAGCTCAGGAGCCAGGGCAGGTCACGACTCTCCATACCTTGCTGCAGCGGTAGGAGATGACAGGGTGAAAGAAGGAATCAGGTGTTTTCTTGATGGACCCTAAGATGGTGGACATGTTGATGATGGCTGCCTTGCTGCAACTCAGGCCCTTTTCTTTGCTGTCCTGGGCAGCCTTCTTCAGCAGAGGCAGGAAGGCCTGGGGAGAAACAACCTAGTGGGACACCTGTGCCTCAAGCCAGTCCCACTTACAGCAACTGCAACCCAGGGAGGGTGAGGAAGAACAGCAGGATGTCAGGAGAGCCCAGGTGTTGCTGCAGTGGCCCTGCCTGCTCCCAATTAGACTTGCACAATTCAGAGAGGCTGCAGAAGGCTTAGGCTTGAAGAGCAACCCCAGCACTCCCTTGCACAGCCCCGAGAAATTTGGCAAAGCCCTCCAAGATTTCCATCCTGACCATGGACAGCCTGGGACACCCTCAAGCTGGGCCAGATTTCATCCCCAGAGCTCCACCCGTACCTGGGCCATCAGCATTGGCCCCACTGCATTGGTCTTGTACGTCCTGACCATGTCCTCGGCATCGACCGTCTCCAGCGAGGCTGTGGGGGTGTAGATGCCGGCGTTGTTTATCAGCAGGTTCAGCCCCATCCCGTTCAGCTTCCCCTCCACCACCTTCGCTGCATCGGTGATAGCCGAGGGGTTTTCCACATCTGCAGTGGGAGAGAACAGTCTGAGAGCCACGGGGAGAAGAGGGAGGGGAGGACGCGGAGGAAATGTGCGCATTCTGACCCGCGCGGCCCTTCCCTCCGTGGGCAGCAGATGGTGCTGTGAAACCAGCTCCGACTCATCCCATCCTCCCAACACCGCCGCCTCCGCCCGCAGCTGCAGGCTCCCGCCAGGAAAAGCCCACCGAGGGGGCACACCGCTGCCGTGACTCCCGTGCTGCGTCTGTTCCCAGCAGCCACCGCCTCCAAAGTCTACGTCTGAGCAATTTCTGGAGAACCCGGGGCAGCCTCCGGGGGGACAAGTCCCCAGGGGAAATGTGCTGGGACCTGCTGTGGGATAGCTCTGCAAGGTCTTTCTGCTCCTGCTCAAGCTCTGGGCTAATCCTACAGTATTTCCACAGGAGCTGCCTTCCTTCCAGGACCTCTCCTGGTCTTCCCTAGAACTTGGGATCAAGGCAGAGCAAGGATGTGGTCAGTCAGCTGGGGGAGCCAGGGGGCTGCCCAGGATGGGTCTCAAGAACATTCTGGTCCTGTGGCCATGGAGCAAGGAGGCTCTAGGAATGGGGTACTGAGGCTGAGACAGGTCTGGAGAAGCTGAGCTTTTGGCAGCACGACTTGAAGAAGCTCTGAAGATGTGGATCCCTATGTACAGCCTGAAGGGAGAGAGGAAGGGAGGGAGAAATGGGGCACTGCATTGCTGGCAGTCACAAATTTACCAGCTCAGAGGCAGAGCACACGTACCCAGCTTTACAAGAACCAGGTTTGGGTGTTTGGATGCCAGATCTCTCAGCTCCTATAAAAAGAGACAGGGAAACAATCAGCACGAGGCAAAGGCGCTGCCAAGCATCATGCTGGGGTGCCAGCAATGGCCCACCCTGAGGGAAACATCTCCCAGGGGTTACCCAGTGCTTGTGAACAGCTGGGCTGGGGACCAGCCTTGGCTCTCAGGCTTCTCCCAGGCTCCACAAGGCAACGGGCATGCGCTCAGGGCATGACACGGCCACGACTGCAAGATGCTGGGGTCACTTTCCCAAAGGGTCATCCACAGCCCAGCCAGAGCCACAGCAGATGATGGGAGCAAGCTGAGAAGGACCAGTTTACCAGGGAAATTATGTGAACTGGCTGGGGATACAGCCAGAAGTGTCTCCCAGAGGCTGCTGGAAATGAGGTGGAAGAGGAACACCTGTGAGTGCCAATATCAGATTTGGCCTGTGAGGAAATCACACCTGGATAGGTCAGGCCCAGATCTACTCACTCTGGACTTTATCAATGATTAGTGAATGTAACAACTTTGCACATTTTTATTGGTTGTTTTCACCTCATGGGGATATTGGGCGGAGTGAGTTAAAAGCTGAAGTCTCAGGAGGAGGAATGTAAATCATTCAGGTGACCTTACAGCTGGGAATAACTCTTGATAAAGCATGTAAACAGTAGCCAATGATTCACTAGCATGGATCTTAACAGTACCTGTGTCTACTTATCTCTGTATCTCCCTGTACCTTTGCCTGGTGCTGCTTCAGGGATCCCCTGGTTATCAAGATAACAGAAATAAATTTACTCTTTGTGTTTTAGCCATCGATTGTCCTGCCTGCCTGTGCCAACTCACACAGTGGAGGATTCAGAAGCTCTTTTCAGCAAGGAAACTTTCTACTTCACAGTTCCTAGCAGCTCTTTGCTCTGAGTCTCCAACTATGGCAGGCTTCAGAGAGCAGAAACTGAACCACCTTGTTTAATGTGCCCAAATTGATTGCTTTTAGAACTAAAAACCTCTTCCAAACATGCCCACAGGTGAAATACAAATTGGTGGTTTATTTTGAGAAGAACATGGCGCAGGAGATCTGCTGGCACTGGCCATGGTTCACTGTCAGTTATCTCTGGGCTCCCTCACCAGACCCCATCTTCCCTGGGATCACACATTAGCCCTGGGAAATAATGTAAAATCCATTAATTTGTTTGTGGTGGCCAACAGATATTTCTCCTCTCCTGTTTTTCCCAACTGCCTGCCTCAACAGTCTCATACCATCCCAGCAGGAGCCTCCCCCACACCAACACCTGGTCCAGGCACAAAAGAGCAGAAGTGATGTGGCCTCTGCTGTCTATGTCCTGTGGTCACGGACTTCAGCGGTACCCTGACAATACCACTCTCACCCCACCACAGCTGGACAAGGCTTCAGGAAGCACCCCCTGGCTGGGAGAGTTGCATGAGGACCTCCCTGTGGAAAAACTGGCTCCAGTCCAGCCCTGAAAAAAGTCCCTGATCTCATCGCTGCCCTGCAAGAGTCCTGCAAGTTGTGGGGAGGAAGAATGGGGCAAAAGTAAAAGACCTGGCCTGTGTTTCACCCAGACAGCTTGGGCACCAGGCACAGCAGGAGCTGGGCACCCGCGGGTTGGCAGCAGGGTGGGTTCTCACTGCGCCAGGACTACTCATGACGTGGAATAATACACACTTGCAAGAAACAAATCAGCTGGAGCCAGGATCTATCAGAGAGCATGTTTCTCCCTAGTAGTATTTCAGTGGGACACAGCAAGCAGAGGAAGACAAGCTGGATGTAAAGAGAGCTGGAAGAACAGGGAAGCATGGTGATTCCCTGCACAAGCAACTTGTGTGAGTCCCATTTTAGCAAAGCAGAAGGCAGGGACGGGGGGATCCCACAGCTCCACTGGCCACCACTTTTGGAAAGCCCACGTTCTGAACCTCCGGATTTTGCAGAGAGCAGCGTGACACAGCAGAACCGGCCGGAGCAGCACCGCTGCCGCTCGCAGCCCTCAGCGCCGAGGCCGGCCCCGCTCGGCCCGTGCCCGCCGCGCCAGGGCGCAGCCCAGGCACGAGAGGGCGGGTTGGGGCACGGCCCGGAACAGCCCAGCGGCGCGCCCTTAAGGGTGACACGGCCGATTCTTCGCCGGCTGCACCTCAGGTGACTTTCACACCGGGCAGGGCACGGTGCGGACAGCAGAGCCCCGCGACAGCAGCGACTCGTTCAGGCCGGTGACAGCGGCCGAGCGTGTGAGCGCCGCCCCTCCCCGGCCCGCACTGACCTGTGCCCGCGGCCCCTCGGGGTCCCGGCAGGTGGCGAAGATCCAGGCGGGGGGTCGCGGCGAGCCCAGCAGCTGCTTCACCAGCTCCAGGCCGATGCCGCGGTTGGAGCCGGTCAGCAGCACCGTGCGCGCCGCCGCCATCGCCGCCCGCGGCCCGGCCTGGCCCGGCCTGGCGCCGCCTCCCGACCCCGCGGGCCGCACCGGGCAGCCCCGACCCCGCGGGGGAAAGCCTGAGGGGGCGGGATTGTGTCTGTTTGTCCGTGTGTGTCTGTTTGCCTGCCCGCCCAACGTTCAGTGCAAACACAACAAGCGCGTCCCAGCCCTGGAGTGCCCGAGGGGAGGAGCGAGGGGCCTCGGAGCGGGCCGGGGGCGCTGAGGGGACTCTGGGCAAGGGTGGTGGGTGAGGGAGGAAGTTTGCAACAGGTCTGGGGTGGTGTCTGCAGCACCTTTAGCACACTAATCTTCACCATAGATAAGAGTAAAAAAAAAAAACAAAAAAAAAAACAAAAACAAACAAAAAAAACCAACCAACCAAACAAACAAACAAAAAAAAACCAACAAAAAAACAACCCAAACTGAACCCGTTTAGTGTGAGAAAGTACCAGCCCGTTTACTAGCTGTTTTTATTGCCTGCCCTGAAATGCACGTGATTTGCCTCTTTCCGTGACCATCAGATGCAATGAATCTGGTAAACAGATAGATCCACCAAGATGCTCTGAGGCTGTAGCACCCCTCCTACAGAGATGGGCTGAGAGAGTTGTGGTTGTTCAGCCTGGAGATGAGAAGGTTCTGTGGAGCCTTTAGAGGCCCTTCCAGCGCCTCAAGGGACTCAGAGCTGGAGGTGGACTTTGGACAAGGGGGAATGGCTTCAAACTCACAGAGGGCAGGGTTAGATTGGGTATTTGGAAGAAATTCTTCCCTGGGAGAGTGGCGAGGCCCTTCCATAGGTTGCCCAGAGAAGCTGTGGCTGCCCCATCCCTGGAAACGCTCAAGGCCAGGTTGGACAGGGCTTGGAGCAGCCTGCAGGTGTCCCTGCTCATGGCAGAGGGGTTGAATGAGATGGTCTTCATGGTTCCTTACCACCCAAATGCTTCTGTGATTTAGGCACTTTGGGCTTGCAGGTGTTTTGAGGGATGTTTTCTCCTTTTTGTTGCTGAGTATCAGGTGTCTGGTTGAACATCTGCACCAAAGGGTAGTGTATAGTAAAGCAAGGAAAAGGTTTGCTGGCATCTAGGGATGGGAAAACAGGGCTGGAGGGAAAGGGAGAACAGAAAAGAGATAATCAGCTGGAGGACGGTATCTGGAGGGGGTCTGCATTTACCAGCCCTGCTGCCAGCCTGGAGATGGGTGTTATTGTTTTATTTTTAGCTGTTATATGGACAGCCAGATACCCATTAAAATCCCATTACAGTGAGCACACAACTGGGATCTCAACAGTGAAGTAATGACTGAGCAACTCTGATGTATATGAGTTGTTATTTATGTTGCTTATTTTCATCCTTGTTTGACAAATACCACACAAAACATCCCTGATACTGATAAATACATCAGATACTAAATATTTATATCAGTCAGGTGATAGCATCAAGTGATTTGTGCTAACTCTATCCTGCTCCATGGTGGTTCAAGTGCATGGGAGCCTCTGCTCCCCAGTTTACTTCAGGATATTAAAATGCTTTTAGACATTTCTTTTACAGAAGTTGAAATTTAATACAAATAAATGTTTGATTATACTACTAAATACTAGGAAAAAATCTCCTTCCTTTTAGCAGATATTTGGATTAAAGGTCCCATTCTCCTTTTCCTGCCTCCTCCTGTGCTCATGCCATTAATTCAGTGACTTCTCAGCAGAAGTGCTGCTCTGTCTATGGCAAAGTTTAGCAAATAATGACCAAGGGGTACCAACACTCAGGGTGAACCACAGCCAGGGTTTGGCCACCTGTTCCACACAGATCCTGCATGCTGGAGGCAAATTACACCGATGAGCTCTTCCAGAAAAGTGCTTGTTTGAAAAAGCCTTGGAGACAGGAATCCCCAGCGATCTCCTGTGCAGAAACAGTTGAAGTGCAGCCACAGCTGAGGGCAGGAGGAGCCTGTTCTGAATGCTAATGTGAACAGTGAAAGAAAGGCAGCTCCAAGTATCAGTAACTGAGTGCTTTCTGGGCAGGTGTGGGCACTGCTTGACAGCTCTTTTGCCTCTGTTCCCCATGAATGAAATAGAGGATTATCCATTCTTTGAAAACCTTGTTAGTTAAGTGTTGGGAGGCTTCCAGCAGGTAATAATGAAAAATGCAACCAAAAAGAACACTGACAAATAATAATAAAACAAAAAAGCCGCAAGGCTTACCCGAGTGCTCTAGTTTCACTACAACAGGCATTGGGAAACTTGTGCTGCTTGGTAAAGCACGAGTCTGATATTGGTGAATTTTGGAGAATTTGAGGGTATAAATCATAGACTCCTAGAGTGTTTTGGGTTGAATGGAACCTTAAAGATCACCTAGTTCCATTCCCTCTGCCATGGACAGGGACATTTTCCACTAGACCTCCCTAAGAATATGAAGAATTATTTGAGTTCACTTAGCTAAAAATCAAAACTAGTAATTCCTGTTATCAGCTCATTGATGCTGTAATTCGGTTGAAGTTTCTGCACTGTAAAGAACATGTGGGCACATGTCCTTTGCACTGAGCTGATGGATTCATCATAAGTGCTGCTGGATTAAAAAATGCAGCTAGAGGAAGAGGGGGAAATATCTTAATTAAAGAAAAAATGGTAAGTGGGGTTTTTTTCCCCTTCCTTTTTATAAATATGGTTTGAAACCAGAATGAACAACTATGGTAAGTTTAAATTTCTGCTGATAAAATACCAATGCAGCCCATTTTACTCTAGCAGTGTCCACAGCTACTTACAGAACAATATACATTTTTGGTTTCACAGACTGTATTTTTGCTCAGCTGTGTGGGCAGTGGGTCACATCATTTAGGCTGGCATGGCATTGTTGGAGTAGCATGGTGCTCAGCTTTTAACTTCTTCACAGGGAGTAAATTTTCCATAGTCCTTTAAATGCTTTTTAATTTAAAGATTATATTCATTCTTTCCTGCTTAAATGTCTTTCATTAATAAGACTTAATGATTATTTTCAACTGGATTCCTAAATTAACATCTGCGTTATCATGTATCTATTCCTAAACTTTACTGTGTCTCCTTTTCTCACTTCAGTACTTGGATGTCAAACCAAGGCAGTCACAAGCTGATCATTTAGCTTGTGCCCTAGTGTTCCTGAGAGGGAGCATATCTGCCACATGTGACAGCCTGTTCTCAGCCATCCTCATTACTAAATCTAATAGTGGGAAAGAAAATTCGTCTTGTTTGGTGGTTCTGAGGTCCTCTTCATGGCACTGTGCTGAAGCGTGGAGGATAACCCAGCCACCTGTCCTTAGAGGATGGGAGAAAAGAAGGTCAGTGAGGATCTGTGCTGTTCCCATGGGTCCTGGCAAAGCAGTTCTGTCTCTGTGCTGCCAGCCCTGCTGCACCCAGGTAGCTGAGGCATCTTGGCTGCTGTCACGAGGGGAATATCCCCAAAAAGTGTTTCTGAGCCCAGGGTGAGGCCCCAGGCTGGCACAAGGTCAAAACACAGTGGCCCAAGGGAGGTTGCACGGACAGTGTGAGCATTTTAAATCCTCAGTCGTAGAATCACAGAATGGTTTGGGTTGCATGGAACCTTAAAGACCGTCTTGTTCCAACTCCTGCCATGGGCAGGGACACCTTCCACTAGACTAGGTTGCTGAGAGCCCCCCAGCCTGGCCTTGAACATTTCCAGGGATGGGGCAGCCAGTTTGTCTGTGTAATCTCTGCTGGGCCTTCCCATCCTCACAGGGAAGAATTTCTTCCAAACACCCAATCTAACCATGTCCTCTTGTCAGTGTGAAGCCATTCCCCTTGTTCTGTCACTCTATGCCCTTGTCCAAAATGCCTCTCCAGTTCTGATACAATGCAGGTGTAACCTGAATGAGTCTGCTTGGAAAACAGCAAAGCTACGACAAAGGTGCCATGGGAAGTTCACTTGGGAGCTGCAGGTAAGCTCAGGCTCTTGCCCCCAGTCCCTGCATCCTTTCACCATGGGGTGCCACTACTCATAGAATCATATTGTGGAATCACAGAATGGTTTCTCTTGGAAGAGACTTTACACATTACGTAGTTCCAACCCTCCTGCCATGGGTTTCCAACCCTCACCAGATCACTAATCCTCTTCAGCCCAAAAGAAAATTAATCAGGGAGGGTGGGTACTGCCCAGCTTCAGTTACAGTACTGGGTTGGTCTCACCCCACCTCTCCATGGGCAGCTCACTTATCACTATCTATTGATTCTTTAGCAAATTACTAATAGGTGATGACAGACCTGAATGCATTGTGGAGCAATGGACAAAAAAAAAAAAGGATAGAATCGGCCTGATAAATAGCAGCGAGTTTATTTCGTATTTATAGTAGATTAAATGTACTAAAACTAATTGTGCCACACCCCTGTTCCCCTGGCAGGCAGAGAAAAGCATGTTCCTCCATGTTTCTGTCAGAAGCACTGTCATTGTGCAATCACCTCCTTGACTGAGAGCACGCTTGAGCCTCCCGCAACTGAGAGTGGAAGAGGTGTGACTGCCTCTTGGAAAACTGGCTCCAAGTCTTCCCAGTGTGGTGATGTGAAAATAATCCATAGGTAAAATGTGCAGCAGCCTGGGGATTGTGGGAGAAGAGCTACAGTGCCCCTGAGCTTGGTGTTTGTGAGGCTGCACCTTGAATCCTGTGTTCAATTTAGGGCCACTCACAGCAAGAAAGACACAGAGGTGCTGGAGTGTGTCCAGGGAAGAGCAGCGGAGCTGGGGAAGGTCTGAAGCACAAGTCTGATGAGGAGCTGATGGGGAGCTGGGACGGTGCAACCTGGAGAAAAGGAAACTCGGGACCAGGACCATTATCAATCTCTACAACTCCTGGTAATGAGGGTGGAGCCAGGGCAGGTCAGGCTCTGCTCCCAAGGAACAAGTTACAGGATGAAACAGCCTCAGGTTGTGCCAAGGGACGTTTCAATTGGATATTAGGAAAAATTTATTCACAGAAGGGACTTTCAAGCACTGGTACACAGACTGCCCAGGAAAGTGGTGGTGTCACCATCCCAGAAGTGTTTAAAAAATGCATGGTTGTGGCCCTTGGGAACATGGTTTAGTGGTGGAATTGGCATTGTTAGTCTAATTGTTGAAATCAATGATCTTAGAGGCTTTTTCCAACCTAAATTATTCCATAATTCTGAGGACTTTAATGCTCAGCTTAAGATTTAGACCATGCAAGAACATTCCAGACCAAAGGAAGCATCTGAATTCCCTCTTAGGAGCTGGACCAACATCCTTTCCAGAGGCTTGGGGACAGCAGCAACCCTTGTGACAAGACTAGGCTGCAAGGCAGTGAGGCTGGTTTCTTTCTCCTCTGCCTCTTCATGCCAGGCTGGACTTAGACTCCTGGTGAAGTAGTGCTTGTTTAAACTCTAATAATCAATAATGCAGTGTGTGGCCCCAGAGCAAAGTCAACATGACAAAGTTACAGCTCCAAAACAGTGGAAGGCTACACAAATGAGGTGACACAGCAAAAATAGGAGACTTAAAATGTTAATTATTTGTTTTCTGATGCTATCTGCTTCTGAGTCACTGTGGAGGTTTCAAACAGGCTGCTTTATCCTCCACCTAGAGGAAGAAAACTGTGGAAGTCTATTTGGAGGATTTGAGCTCTGGTGTGTCTGTTGGCAAATATAGTTTTGGTCTGTGGTCATTGGAAAGGAAATACTGAAATGATCTATGGAGCCTGAATTCCAGTCCAGCCATGTGGGAGATCCTCAGTGAGAGATCAGACTGAGACACTGAAAGGCCCAAGGCTTTGTACTGCTGGTAAGTGGTAGGAATTCACAAGGGAAAATAAGTGTCTCAACCCAATATGGAAAATTCAAAAAGTAGACAGACATCCAATTAACCAAGGAAACAAAGTGGGAAAAAAAAATTGCATGGAACTTAAGAGGAGGCTCAGTCTTGGCGGAGAGAAGATACAGTATCGGCTCACCATAGAAGCTGCCCGGTGTGCACCTTCCCAAATGGGTTTGGGGATGGTACCCTGTACAGGTGGTCCCAGGTCAGAGCTGGAAAGGACCTGCTTATCTCCCAGTGTCTCCAGCTGAGCCCCAGAACATAGGCTGGAGTGGGCAGGAGGAAATCAGCTGCTGCCAGAGCATGGAGACACACTTGGCATTGCCATTGGGAGGAAGCTGTTCTGGTTAATGCTGCTGCCAAGATATCCTGGGGCAGAAGGTGACATGGGCAGTGTTGTCTCCATTGCTGCCCAGCAGCCTGTGCAATGGCTCTGGGACTCAATGTAGGAGGACAAGGGGTTGGCAAGAGGTTTCTGGGGGTGGGTCTTCACTTACAGTGGGGCAGGAGCACATGGTGTACACACACACCTGATCCAGCCTTGCAATCTTGTAATGCATCACTTGAGGTACTGAACAGCACTGGGCTCCACTGGTGGTACCACAGAGCAGTCAGTGCCTCATGGCAATAGGTGAAGTGGAGAATAGGCTTTGAACAGGGCATTTCCTTTGCAGGTAAATGTCCCAGGTGCCTGAGTCCTCTGTGGCTCTGAACAAAGGGACAGCTCAACATAGGACAGCATCCTAAAGGATGGGGCGGATGACGTGCAGCATGGTGCTGTGCCAGCCATGCAGGTTCCCACCCTTCTGTCAGGAGACCACGCTAGGTTTGCTCTCCCACTCCACAGGTCTTTGGCTCCACACTGAGGAGAGGTTACTGTCTTGGAAGAGGCAGGAGCAAGGCAGAGAACATTTGCTCAGGGTCACCTGAGGCTCAGCTTGGTACAATGTGCAGAGACCATCAAGCCCACAGGATGCTTGTGAACGTGTCAAGCCCACCTGAGCCATGGAGCTTCCCACATCAACCCACATGCTGCTCCTTCCCTCTTCACCCACAACAGCCCACGTGGCTTATGGCATCAGGTTACCCAAGGAATTAATACTTTTCCTGGAAAAAACAAGTAATTTTTGCTGTTAGGTAACTAGGATTGGTCCCCACCCAGAACATATGTCCTGGAGCTCAAAGAGCTGGAGCACTTGCTCCTCCCAGAGAGCAGCCAGCATTAGTGCAAGCTGTGAGTGAGTGGGCTGGGACACACTAAAAGGAAATATTAGAGAGCTGGGTAAACAGTGCAAGCTGGAGTGAGGAGAGAAGCAGCATGGCAGAGCTTTGTGTCGGCTCTGTTCTGGTGACTGGGGCCAACCGTGGCATTGGCCTGGGGCTTGTCCACCATTTCCTGAGGATGCCAAAACCACCTCAGTGGATTTTTGCGACCTGTCGGGACCCCAAGGGGCAGCGAGCACAGGTGAGGCTGGGTGGGAGGCAGTGGCTGTGCTGGGGGATGGCAGCACTCGGTGCCAGGGGGAGATTGGAACAGGGATGGTGCTTGCAAGGGGCTGGAGCTTCAGCTGGGCACCTGGGGCCCAGGGCAGCTGGGCTGAGACAACGTGGGAGCAGCTGTGCATGGAACATGTGGAGGGGACAGGGATACATGGTGTCTGCAGGAGTTGTGGAGTGTTCCCCCTGTATGAGGATCAGGGCAGCTGGAGCAGGGTGCTGGGCACAGATGGAGCTGGAAGGACACAGGCTTTGGCTGGCTTAGCAGGGCGAGCCTTGGCAAAGCTGTTCCAGCCTGTTGGTACCAATGTTGTGACCCCTCTTTCAGGACCTACAGAATTTGGCCTCCAAACATCCCAACCTGGTCATTATTGCTCTTGGTAGGTTCTCTCTCACCCCAGTTCATCTGGTGAATGCTTGGGCACTCATCACAGATCTGGGAGCTCCACATAGGAGGCAGCCATGGGGGGAGGGGGGGGCACTTCCTTTATGGGAAACAGGGGACCCCAAACCACCACAGGGTCACTGAGCTCCAGTGTATTGCCCCTGCAGAAGTTGCCAACCCTGTCAGCATCAAGGCAGCTGCGGCCAAGGTTGGGGAGCACCTGGGGGGCTCTGGGCTCAACCTCCTCATCAACAACGCTGGAATGGTCAAGCCTAAGATGCTTGAGGCTGAAACATTGGAGGACATGACTGATACTTACACCACCAACACGGTTGGACCCATGCTGATGGGCCAGGTGAGTCCCCAGCACTACAGCACAGCTCCAGAGGGATCCCTTCCCATGTCTTCAAACTGGACATTCTAGAGGGAGTGATGGGCCAGTGGGAGGGGCTCCTGTCGGTGCTCTGGTGCCCTGATGGGCTCTCAGTTGATGAGAAGCTCAGGGAGCCATGGGCTGGAGCTCAGGAGCTGGGGCCAGCCCAGCTGGGGCACTGGGAAAGAGGAGGGAGGATGTCACCCCAGTACCGGTGTGAATGTTGCCCACTGTGGAAGGAGCTTCTCCCCTGCCCTGTGCCATGTCCATGTGTGCTTCTGTCCCCTCCGTCTCCTCGCAGGCGTTTCTGCCCTTGCTGAAGAAGGCTGCCCAGGGGAGCCCAGGCTCAGGGCTAAGCTGCAGCAAGGCTGCCATCGTCAACATGTCCAGCATTGGCGGCTCCATCACTTCTTGCTTTGGTTGGGAGATGATGCCAGTTGCCTCGTACCGCTGCAGCAAGGTGCTGTCACACGTGCTGGGAACAAATTCACTTCCCCTGCCCTGCCCACCTGCGGGTCCCCTTGCAGCCCCCCTTCCCCTCCCACCACTGTCCCTGTGTTGTCTCCCCACAGGCTGCTCTGAACATGCTGAGCAAGTGCCAGTCCCTGGCATACAAGGAGCACGGCATCCTCTGCGTCGCTCTCCACCCCGGCTGGGTGCAAACTGACATGGGCAGCTCTGCCGGACACACGGTAGGAATTCCCCTGGGGTGGGTCCATCAGAGCTCTTGTGCTGATTTTGCAAGGGTGGGAGTTGCTATCCTGAGCCCCTGCTCATGACTTCCCTGCCTGCCCAATCCCTGCTGGGGCAGCTCCCCCTGTCCTGGTCCTGGGTGCTGGGTGTCCCCATCCCCTCAGTTCCCTGCTTGGCCCCTCTGTCCTGGTTGTTCAGAGTTTTCAGCTTTCTCCTTGCCCTGGAGTGCCTGGTTCCTCCAGTCCTGGCTGGACCAGGGCCTCAGGCACAGAGCTGTTTCTCCCTGTGTCCCACAGCCCCCTGTGACAGTGGATGACAGCGTGCAAGGGATGCTGAAGGTCCTCTCCTCCCTCTCTGAGAAGGACACCGGCGCCTTCCTGGACTGGGAAGGGAAGGTCGTGCCCTGGTGAGGCATCACATCAGGATCCTGGCAGCCAAGAGGTCCCTTTGGCACTGCTCCCACCTCCCCACATCCTCAATAAACTCCTGCTGAGACCCCCAGCTCTGTTGTGCAGTGCCAGCTCATGGGGTGGCCCTTTCCAGATATCCCACTGTTCCACTGGGGATTGGTGGTGCCCACAGCGGCCCCAACCCATGGCTGTCACTGGCATCCCCATGAGTGACAGCCAGCAGGTCCCATGGCACCGTGACTGCCCTCTGGAGACCTCCCCTCCAGGAGGCACTTGAGGGGAGACTGACTGTGGAGACTGGGTTTGGAGACAGAGCAGAGAGGCATCAGCTGCCAGAGTTTATAGAGGTGGAGGTTGCAGGGAGACCACTGGTCAGTTGGTTAAGGAGACGGAAGTTGCTTCCTAAGCCCTTTTCTTCTTAAAGCTCCACAGCCAAACACCTCATCCCCATGTCCTTGGAAGCCCAGAAGAGGCATAGCCTTGCCAGCATAACGTGGGGAGTGGGTGGGCAGGGGAGGAGACATTTCTCATGCTGGAGAGGAGACAGTTCCTAGGCAGAAAACGTCTGTGGAGATGAGAAATTGGAGGCGGTCCTGGGACAAAGCACATGAACGACCCTCCTGGAAGGCTCAGTCCTGGCTGCTGCTGCCCCAGTCTCTGTGCTTCCACCTGGGAGAAGCAGGCAGGGGGTGGGTGGCTGGGCCAGGGGGTGACCCGTGGGCTCCCTCCCCTCCAGGGGCACTGTGCCTGGGGCAGCATCTCCAGCACCTCCCCTGGCACCTCACCTTGCTGGCCCGGTACGGGTACATGGGGGCCTCTGGCACGTGGAGGCACAGCCCGATGGAGCCCAGTTTGGAGGAGATGTTGATGACAGCAGCCCTGCTGCAGCTCACACCCTCCTTGCCACGGCTGCCTGCTCCAGGAGTGGCAGAAATTCCTGCAGCAAGGACACAGATGCTGCATGAAGATGTGGCAAGCCTGCAGTTTGTGTCTTTGTCTTGCTGGAGTGCAAGGCCAGCAGCTGGTGATGTGCTGGCCATGCAGGTGCTCATCCTTCTGCCAGGAGACTGGATCCTCTGGGTGTGCTTCCCTCCATGGGAGCCTTGTTTCACTTGACAGTCAGGGAACGGGCATTGGCTTGGAGGAGGCCAGCTTAAGACAGAGAGTGTCTGCTCATGGCCATGTGAGGAATGTCCTGGCCCAGGGGACCAGGACAGGGGGATGAAATCAGCCTGTTCCCAGTCTTGTGTGGGTCTGATGCAGAAAGCCCTTCTTGGGAAGGTGTCAAGCCCATGTGAGCCCTGGAGCTTCCCACATCCCTTCCACATGCTGCTCCTTCCTTCCTCATGCACAACATCCTCTCCTGGCTTATGGCACCAGGTTTCCCAAGGACAGTAGAATTTGCCTGAAACCGCCAAGGGTTTTTGCCCTTTGGAAACAAGGACTGGCTCCCAGCTGGGATCAATGGACTGGAGTTTGAAGGGCAGGTGCAGTTGCTCCTCCTGGATCCAAGGATTGGTGTAAACCCTGAGTGGGTGGAGTGTCTGTGGAAAAAGCTAAAAGGAAATATTAGAGAGCAGAGCAAACAGTGCGAGCTGGAGCAGAGGAGGACAAGCAGCATGGCAGGGCTCCACGTCCGCTCCGTTCTGGTGACTGGGGCCAACCGAGGCATCGGCCTGGGATTTGTCCAGCATTTCCTGAAGATGCCAAACCCACCTCAGTGGATCTTTGCAGGCTGTCGGGACCCCAAGGGACAGCGAGCACAGGTGAGGCCGGGCGGGAGGCAGTGGCTGTGCTGGGGGATGGCAGCACTCGGTGCCAGGGGGAGATTGGAACAGGGATGGTGCTTGCAAGGGGCTGGAGCTTCAGCTGGGCACCTGGGGCCCAGGGCAGCTGGGCTGAGACAACGTGGGAGCAGCTGTGCATGGGATGCATGGAGGGAACCCTGATACTTGGGCATGGAGTCCTCCCCATCCATTGGGTTCCAGGCAGCTGGAGCATAGTGCAGGTCCATGGTATTGCAGAGATGGAGCCAGAGCAATGTGGGCTTTGCCTGGGAAAGTCTGAGCCTCTGCACAGCCCCTGCAGCCTCTCCATGCCTACGCTGTGCCCTCTCTTTCAGGAGTTACAGAATTTGGCCTCCAAGCACCCCAACATCATCATCATCCCGCTCGGTAGGTGCCCCGAGGCGCGGGTCCTTTGCCCCAGTTCCTCTGGCGAGTGCCCAGGCTGGGCACACCCTGGGAGCCCCGTGCTGGGAGGGAGCTGTGCCAGTGGGCTGGTGCCTGCAGGGCCATCGGGCACTGCCACCTCTGGGGGAACAGAGGGGACTCCACCATGGGGACACAGGCTCTGACCTCCCCTGTGCTGGCTCTGCAGAAGTCGCCGACCCCGCCAGCATCAAGGCAGCTGCAGCCAAGGTTGGGGAGCACCTGGGGGGCTCTGGGCTCAACCTCCTCATCAACAACGCTGGAATGGCAAGGCCAAAGACCCTTGATAATGAGAATCTGCAGGACATGACTGATACTTACACCACCAACACGGTTGGACCCATGCTGATGGGCCAGGTGAGTCCCCAGCACTACAGCACAGCTCCAGAGGGATCCCTTCCCATGTCTTCAAACTGGACATTCTAGAGGGAGTGATGGGCCAGTGGGAGGGGCTCCTGTCGGTGCTCTGGTGCCCTGATGGGCTCTCAGTTGATGAGAAGCTCAGGGAGCCATGGGCTGGAGCTCAGGAGCTGGGGCCAGCCCAGCTGGGGCACTGGGAAAGAGGAGGGAGGATGTCACCCCAGTACCGGTGTGAATGTTGCCCACTGTGGAAGGAGCTTCTCCCCTGCCCTGTGCCATGTCCATGTGTGCTTCTGTCCCCTCCGTCTCCTCGCAGGCGTTTCTGCCCTTGCTGAAGAAGGCTGCCCAGGGGAGCCCAGGCTCAGGGCTGAGCTGCAGCAAGGCTGCCATCGTCAACATGTCCAGCTATGCAGGCTCCATTGAGGATATGTATGTGTGGGAGTTTGGACAAGTTGTCTCGTACCGCTGCAGCAAGGTACTGCCAGACTTTGCTGGGGGTGAGCCCAGACTTTTTCCCCTCTGAATTATCACACTGCCTTCCAACCTCCCCCTCAGCCTGTGCCCCTCTCTTTGGTGGGACTGAGCTCCTGTCAGTCCCTGGGTGCCCATCACAGCTCAGTTATCTGCCTGGCTCTGGGTCCAACCTCAGAGGGACATGATACGATGGGACTTCATCTAGGCTGGGCATCTGCACAGGGATAGTGAGGGAGCATCGTGTACCCAAGGAAGTGGCCCTCTCTGCCCAATCCCTGCCCCAGCTGTGGGGTCTGCACATGTCCCCTGGCATCGCCCCTTCCCCTTCCATTGCTGTCTCCTTCCTGTCTCCCCACAGGCTGCTCTGAACATGCTGAGCAAGTGCCAGTCCCTGGCATACAAGGAGCACGGCATCCTCTGCGTCGCTCTCCACCCCGGCTGGGTGCAAACTGCCATGGGCGGCGGCGGAGGATCATATAAGGTAAGAGATCTCCTGTCCACAGTCTGGGAGAGCCTCATCGTTTAGGAATGCAGAATTTGCTGAGGTCTCATGCTGGACTCTGTGAGATCTCCTGGGCTGATACCCTGGAGGCATAGGAGGGAGGGAGATGAGTGACTGGGAATGCGTCTTGCTCAGGACAATGATGTGTTTCAGGGTGGATGCCTGAGCACAGAGCTGTTTCTCTCTCTGTCCCACAGCCTCCTCTGACAGTGGATGACAGCGTGCAAGGGATGCTGAAGGTGCTGTCCTCCATCTCTGAGAAGGAGACTGGGGCCTTCCTGGACTGGGAAGGGAAGGTCGTGCCCTGGTGAGATGCTGATTCAGGATTCCGACTGTGAGGACCTTTGCTGCTGCACCATGTTTTACCTGTCCCTTAGTAAACGACTGTCCACAAACAATAAGTAGCATTGTGTGAGCGTCCTTCCCTTGATCTTCTGTTAACTATCACTGAGAATCCTCACTGGTGCTTTGAGAGTTCTTCTCAGTTATTTCCACATATCATTGAGCTGGGTTGGTCTGAGCATTTGTTCTTGTCTAACTGGGGACCTGGACACCATCCTGATAGGAATTTGTCCCTGAGCTTGTCCCAGAGGTCTCCCTCAGAACAGCAGCACCACCTTACGATGACTCAGGCACTCCTCCCAGTGAGTCCTTTCTCGTTTGTCCGTTCAAAGTCCAAGCAGAGCACTTGTTCATCATTAGCTCCTCTACCACATAGGTCAGGAAGACAAAGTCTGACATGATCTTCCTGGCTTGCTTATGCCCTTCTGTGTTCCTCCAGCAGAGATCAAGGTAGTCAAAAACACCCATGAAGACCAGGGCCTCAAATGGGAAATGTGTAAGTGCAGTCCTGAGCCCTCTCAGGGATGGGAACCTATTCTGTGTTCCTGTTAAATCCTGTCTGTGCCTCTCTTCTTGGTGGCTCTGCTCCCTGTTGTGAGCTGGTGTGTGGAAGCAGGATAGGCTCTTGGTGTTGTGTACATTTCCATGGGGCACACGTGGCACTGGAGGCTCCAGTGATGAGCAGAGGTGCCCATGGGTCCTCTGGGACTCACCACGGGGCTGATGGAGGGGGGTGTGGGACCAGATGGGCACATGGGGCCTTGGGGTCCATGGGGACACCGAGGATCCCCCACTGTGTGTCCTGTGGTGCATGGAGGGATGGGGAGGAGGCAGCAGTGGGATGGTTCCCAGCAGGCTGTGGTCTGCCTTGGATGTGGAGCAGGGAGGTCTCAGCCCCACAGAGTCCTTTCTTCACCACCAGCACTGAGCCCAACCTGCACCAGGGCCAGGAACAGCAAATGCAGCTCTGGAGTCTGCAAAGTACAATTCTGAAGGCATGAAACTAGGGAGGAAACACGGAGAAGGATCATGATCAGGCAGGGAGGTGGCAATGGGACCCTGAGGATGATGGGGACCAGGGACATTCTGGATTACCCAGACCTCCCTGACTGTATCCTTCCCACAGCACCACTCAGCTCCCCATGGAGATCATTGTGCCATTTGTTGTATTTTTAACTGAATTCTCTCAAATTTGTTGTATCACACAGGATGCAAAAATTAATTATTTCCTCACCTCTTGTATCACTTACATTTAGCTGAAATTATTATAACCCCGACTTTGCTGTACTATAGGATGATGACCCCACTGCATGAGGCCCCCTCAACAGCGCCGTCCTTTGCAGCAGTCTCGTTCCTGGGTGCCACCCCAGCCCTGCCAGCGCTCTGCACAACTTAGGGCTCCCTTCCACATTGCCAAGGCTCTGAGCAACAGCATCCGAGTCCAGCTGTATCCTCCTTAATTAACCAGGATTTGTTGGCCAGGCTGTGCTGTCCGTGCCAGGGGAGGGGACAGCGCAGGGATGTTCCCGTCGTGGTGCCGGCGGTGGCACACTCGGTGGTGGCACAGCCGGCGGTGGCAGTTCCCAGCGGTGGCAGTCTCCGCGGTGGCACACCCGGCGGTGGCAGTCCCGGCGGTGGCAGTCCCCGCGGTGGAACAGCCGGCGGTGGCACAGCCGGCGGTGGCACAGCCGGCGGTGGCAGTCCCGGCGGTGGCACACTCGGCGGTGGCACAGCCGGCGGTGGCAGTCCCGGCGGTGGCACACCCGGCGGTGGCACAGCCGGCGGTGGCAGTCCCGGCGGTGGCACACCCGGCGGTGGCACAGCCGGCGGTGGCAGTCCCGGCGGTGGCACACCCGGCGGTGGCACAGCCGGCGGTGGCAGTCCCGGCGGTGGCACACCCGGCGGTGGCACAGCCGGCGGTGGCAGTCCCGGCGGTGGCACACCCGGCGGTGGCAGAGCCGGCGGTGGCAGTCCCGGCGGTGGCACACCCGGCGGTGGCAGAGCCGGCGGTGGCAGTCCCGGCGGTGGCACACCCGGCGGTGGCAGGGTCTCTTCTGCTGTGATCGTATAGTGGTCAGTACTCTGCGTTGTGGCCGCAGCAACCTCGGTTCGAATCCGAGTCACAGCAGCTTTTGTCCAGAGCCGGGAGGGAGGCATCCCCGAGGGGGTTGAAAAGATGTCCTGCCCGGGCAGGGGACCACAAGTTTGGGTGGTCCGAAAGTGACCAGACTTACACCGACAGTGATTTCCCGACCTGCAGTCACTGTGCAGGTAGCACCAGTGCGGCTGCAGTGGCACTTCTGGGAAAGCACTTCAGCTTCTCCATTTTCCAGGCAAACGTGAGAATTTAGGGGAATTTGCCCAGCGTTCCACTTCCCCACAGTTTTGCAGAAAGAGGACCAGAAGATGCTGTGGCGTGAGAGGAGGTGGGAGGCAGCAGCTTGCTCAGCTCCTGGCCCCCAGGCCATGAAGGACCTGCCGCAGCAGAAGGAAGATAACCAGATTAAAGTCCTGCTGCTGGCACTCCCTGCTGCAGGGGAGCAGGATTTTTGTTGCAGAACCTCCAGGGATGCATTCCCAGCAGAGGCAAACCCCACCCAGAGCTGAGGGGTGACCCTGACAAACCGTAGCTCTGGGAACTCGAGGTCCCACGGGCACCAAGCAGCCGATGGAGATCTCTGGGTGCACCAGGAGATGCTTCAGCCTGGGGAAGCCTCTCAGACTGTCGCCTTTACCCTTCTGGAGCCTGAATGGAGTCCCCCTGTTTGCTTGGACTTGGTGCCCTCTCCTGACAGCCGCGCAGAGTTCACTCTGGTCGGCAGCTTTCAGAGAAGCGACACGAGGGGTGGCACAGGCTGGTGGCGGGGGAGGCACACGCCAGCAGCGGGGCTGAGCCCACGGCTGGGGCAGCTGAAAGCAGCAGGAGGCTGCAGCACTCAGGCAGGTGGGTTCAGGCCTCTGCAGGGCTGGTGCTTGGCAAAAGGAGAGGGTGGATTTTTTTTTCTAGCACGAAATAGATTTAGTTTCTTTTGTTTTTTACCCACAGCAAGAAATGAAGGGGGAAGGTTCAGGCCTCTGCAGGGCTGGTGCTTGGCAAAAGGAGAGGGTGGATTTTTTTTCTAGCACAAAATAGATTTAGTTTCTTTTGTTTCTTACCCGCAGCAAGAAATGAAGGGGGAAAAAATCATTGCACATTTACTTTTAGGATTTGCAGTTTATAGGGCACTTATTTGCATGACTTCACACTCCTCCAACATTCATTTAATGAAAACACATATCTCTTTACTTAGGGAAAGCTCAAAAAGCACTTTTCCATTCTAAAGATAAAACAGGAGGAAGAGAAGACAAACATCTGGAGAAGTTGCCCATTAGCAGCAGCAGTGCCTGCCCCACTGTTACCCAGCTGAGCAGCAGGAACACAAGGAAATACATAACTTCTCATTCCTCTTTTATTTTTTTTTCCACAGAAAGTCAGTGTGATGTGTAAGGCCACCAAACTTACCTGAAAAATAATTGACTGTGCTTGAACAACTGATGTATGTTCAGGTTGAAAAACATTTGAAAAAATTTTATATAGGACAGGGGATATTTTTGATCCAAAATTGCTTGATTTTCTGTTAAAAGAGTTTCTATTTTGCAAAAATACCCTGAAGTGTCTATACAGCTAGAGGGCAGTCCAGGGCTTGGCTGAGGCAGTCAGCAGGTCACTGCAGCCTCTGCTCTCGCATGAACTGTATTCCCTTAAAGTGATGCAGGGCTCTGCTGGGAAACTTCCACTCCTCACCCTCCCAGTGAAAAAGGGTCTCCAGGCGTTCAGCTGGAGCCTCCTGTGTTCCAGTGTGTGTGCCCACGGCTCTGGCACTGAGCACCCTGAACAGAGCCTGGCTTCCCTCCCAGCAGAGATGCTCCGGTCCCTTCAGGACCTTCATGGAGGTTGTCACGCAGAAAAAAAAAAAAACAATTGCCAGCAGGAACCCAAACTTTAAGAACACTGCTTGAAGTCACTTGGGGTGCCCGAGCATCTTCTTCCCTGAGGGAGGGAGCAGCGGACACCACAATTCCCTATTCCTTCCCTGCCCTCGGTTGCCCCGGGCGGCCCATCCCGGCAGGAGGAGGTGCCGCTCCTGCCCCACGGCTCCTAAAGGATAAAGCCACCGCCTGAACAGGGGCTTGAACCCTGGACCCTCAGATTAAAAGTCTGATGCTCTCCCAGCTGAGCTATCCAGGCTCACACTGGGCTCTGGGGTGCAGCTCTGCCACCGGCGGGGGGGGACCCCGCTTTCCTCAGCATTGCAGGGACACTGGGGCACCCACTTCGATATTCCCACTCCCACGCCACCCCAGCGAGGCTGCCAGCGCAGGCCAGGCTGAAGCCGGGTTCTGGGAATCTCACCGGGCGCCGAGCAGGCTCAGGGACGCGCGGCAGGGAGGAGCGGGATGCTGCGGGAGCGGCTCTGGAGCTGCGCCGCTCCCGGAGGGAGGCGGGAGGGCCCCGCCGGGGCAGCGGCGGCCGCGGGGGCTGCGGCCGAGCAGGCTCCGAGCTCTGCTCTGCGCTGCAGCAGCCTCGGCTCCAACCCGAGCCCCGGCGGCGCTTCCGCAGGAGGGAGCCCCGGGGGCTCTGGGTTACCGACACGGAGCCGTGGAGGGCACCTACAGCTGCCACCCCTCATATTCTATTGCCCTTCCTCCCCGTTCTTCAGGAGGGGACCCTCTGCCCCACAGGGAGCTCACCCGGCCAGCCAGCCCTCCCACCCGTGCCCGTCAGCATCCCTGTCCCACCTCACACTTCCCAGGAGGAAGAAGACATCTTCCCTTCAGCAGGAGAATATGATTTTGCCCCATCCCTTGAAGTGTTCGAGGCCACTTTGGATGGGACTTGGAACATCCTGATCTAGTGAGTGATCCTGCCCATGGCAGGGGTTTGAAATGAGATGAACTTTAAGGTCCCTTCCAGCCAGAGCATGTACCC